ATTAGTAAAAAGAACTCATATAAGGTGTGGCATTTCAGCAAACACCTTGTATACGGCTAGATATAATGAAAGTTAACATAAGTAAATTCATTGTGGCATTTCAACAAACACCTTGTATACAAAACTCAAGCCAATATCAAACGAGTAATTTTCATCAACGGTATCAACAAAAACAAGTCAAAAACTCAGAAAAGAAGTAACACTAACATCATATAATCCAAAAAAATGAAATACTAAGACATTAATCCAGAAAAATGCAAAATGAAAAACTTCAAATACCGTAACAATGAACGGACGGCGGCAGAATGAGGTGACGACGGAATGACCGGAGGAAAGACGACGGACGGAGGCTGTTGGATGGAGGCGCGGACGGAATGCGTCGACGGTGACTATTCTAATTCTGAATAGGGCAACGTTCGCGAGTGGAAATAAGAAAGAAGAAGACTGTTCTGATTCTGTGAAAATATTGGAATTTTTTAAATTTATGCTACTTAAACCTATAGCAGCGCTTTTTTTGGCATTTAGCAGCGCTTTTAAAAGCGCTGCTATAGGTCTGCCTTAGGACCCCCTTTAGCAGCGCTTTTTTTGACATTTAGCAGCGCTGCTATAGGTATGCCTTAGGACCCCCTTTAGCAGCGCTTTTTTTGGCATTTAGCAGCGCTTTTAAAAGCGCTGCTATAGGTCTGCCTTATGACCCCCTTTAGCAGCGCTTTTTTAAAAGCGCTTTCATAGACCCCCCCCCTTTAGCAGCGCTTTTTTAAAGCGCTTTCTTTGACCCCCCCCCTTTAGCAGCGCTTTTTTAACAAGCGATGTCTTAGGTATGCTATTTTTTTGTTTTTTTTTTCATGATCCTTTAGCAGCGCTGTCTTTTGTTGCGCTGCTAAAAGTCATTTCTGGCGTAGTGGAGGGAATCACCTCATCCCCTTACACAAAACGAACATATCCTTCTTATATTTGTAGTGATTGGAATGGGATGTAAAAAGGGCTCTCCCCGGATGACTACTTAGACACCTAGCTACCCTTCACCAATATGGTGATATAGAAGGAGAAAAAGACTCTCGCAGTCAGTGTAATGACTAGGTCTTCATAGACCATATCAAAATCCATGATGTAAACCCAACTATTAGGGAACAATTTGGGAGGACACAACATTAAATACTCTTAAGACCTGCATAGAAAAAGGGGGAAAAGAACCTCCATATCCTTGATGAAAGGGAGGTGGATGTAGAATTATGGAGAAGGAGAACCGGAGGAGACAGGCGTGGTCACCATCTCCGACGGTGAGCAAGCTTGTAGAATGACCTGGTCCTCATCCTATGAAGAAGAAACTTTCACTCCTGATCGGAAAAGAAGGATCTGTTCATCAGAAGTATAACTAGATCTAAAATTAGCGGCATCCTTTGACACGGTGAATGAGGTAGACAATATCCCTTTTGTTCCTGAGAATGTAATAGATCAAAAAGAAATTATCACCAATGTCATAACTGTCAAAAATGGGAAACTAGCCTAGAACTCTATGCTTAGCCTAAAACCTCATCTCAAACATATCTTCATAAAACCTACTTGCTACAGAAAGCAAGAAAAATAACATGCATACCTGGAAGAAGGTTGTCAACAAAGACATGAGAAGTTGGGTAGTTTAGACAAACTTGCAAGAGTAGATAGCAAAATGGAACAAATTAAATGAAAGAGAAAATAGTTTATATTGCAGTGGGAAGCATAAAGGATCATTTGGCTACTCCTCCATGGTTTTGAAAAAACTCATCACATTTTTGACATGTTCCACCAACGTTTAGAGTCTCGAAAAACATGTCATCATTGCCTACATTAAATAGAAGTAAGCATGACCAGCTGAATAATTGATTGACATTTCCAACAGACATTTTTTAGCTAACCAGGAGACATTTGAAAGCTGACTCATCCCTCAAGGGCTCATATAAGTAGTCACCCTCAAGTAAAAGACTCTCCCCAAACTAAGGGACTTGCCCTTTAATAAATATTGTCCTTCAGCTGAGGGACCCGTCCTATGACAAGTAGTCTCCTTTAGCTAAGGGACTTGCCCCAAATCTAAGGGAATTTTACTTTAGTAAATGGACGCCATCAGCCAAGGTACTCACTAGAAGAGCGAGGGACGTACCTCGAACCTAAAAGAGCCTTAAAAACATTTCGTCCTTAGCAAATCCCTCGTGCTTGAAGGACTATGTAGTGTTATATTTGTGTGTCCTAAAGGAGGGCACCCACACCCAAGAGCAAAAGCCCACCACTACTCCATAAAGGTTAGGTGGCCAATATCTTCTCTTGATCAGGAAGGAGCAGTTGTCACCACTCAGGGTTACCAAAAACCTAGACTCAAAAGGCCTCTATAGACACTCATCCCTTTGTAGGAGGAAGAGACATATCAAAACTCATACAGATCATACCACATATACGTTTACATCTAAGCATACCACTCAATAATATAGCCTGTCACATCACACGAGCAAAGTCTTTAAACCATCTTAAAACACCACCATGGAAGACTTCTCTCCGTCTTGGGTAAGCACCAACCACCATACAACATAATATATCTACTAAGGCCTCTATGTCCCCTACTCTTGCAGAAGGAACACACACTTGTACTTTTTACAAGTACAATATAGTCTTGATAAAAATAACCCGAGTCACACCGTCTTCATCACCATCAACCTGCCCCATGTTACTCTTCACTCATACACCTAGGCAC